GTAATACGGTTCCCCAACAGAGCCGGAGTAATTGAAGAGGTCTTTGGAGACCAGATTATGTCCAAGCAATGCTTTGTCATGGTTAATGGTAGCCGCGCTGCCAAGGGATATGTTCATTCGGTGGAAGAACCTGAGAGCAATGAATTGTTCACAGATGTCGGCAAAGCAGCTGACCAAAAAGCAGTGGAAGACTTGGTAAAGGTAGGAATAGATAATAAGAACCCGGATAAATTCTTTTTGCTCGGTTCGTCGTTGTCCAGCATTGAGAGATTAGAGGTCATGGAATTCCTGACCTCTAATGTCGAAGTGTTCGCCTGGACGCCATACGACATGCCAGGCATCGATCCAAACTTCATCTGTCACCAACTCAATGTCCACCCATCCGCCAGACCAATCATTCAGCGCACTCGCAGATCGACACTCCACCACGCCGAAATAGTGGCAGAAGAAGTGGGAAATCTACTAGAGGCAGGAGCTATCAAAGAGGTGCACTACCCCAGATGGATTTCCAACACGGTCGTGGTGCCAAAAAATAATGGCAAATGGCGTGTCTGCGTTGATTATAAGATAGTCAACAAAGCGTGCCCAAAGGACAGCTTCCCCTTACCACGGATAGATCAACTGGTAGACCCCGCTTAGCTTTCTGGATGCGTACAGAGGCTACCATCAGATTGCCATGTACGAACCAGACCCGGAGGTCACGTCCTTTACCATTCCAAGAGGACTGTATTGCTATAAGGTCATGCCCTTTGGCCTAAAAAACGCAGGGGCAACATTCCAGAGAATGGTCACCAAGATGTTTAAGCCGTTGTTAAGCAGAACATTGGAGGCTTACATCGATGACATGGCGGTCAAGAGCAAGGATGAGAATGACCATCTAAAGGACCTAGGTGAGATGTTCCAGATTCTGAAGAAGCACAAGTTGCGCCTTAATGCATCCAAGTGCGCGTTCGGTTTAGGATCTGGCAAATTCCTAAGCTTCCTAGTGACCAACCGGGGTATTGAGGCAGGCCCCTCCCAGATCAAAGCTATTCAGAATCTAGAGAGGCCTAACTCAATAAAAGAAGTGCAGCATCTCACCGATATGGCAGCTGCACTTAACCGATTCATTAGCCGGTCGTCAGACAGACTACGACTATTTTTTCAAGCATTAAAAGCCAAGTTTGAATGGGACGAAGAATGTGACCGCGCTCTGGAAAGCTTGAAAGAATACATGTCCTCTCCACCACTGCTGGTCACCCCAATACCTGGAGAAGAACTCTTCCTGTACTTGGCAGTCTCTCAGCACGCAATTAGCGCAGTGTTGGTCCGTGCGGAAGGAATCCAACATCTGCCCATCTATTATGTCAGCAAGACATTGCTAGGTACCGAAACAAGGTATTTGCCACTAGAAAAACTGGCTTTAGCCTTAATGATGGCATCAAGAAAGTTGTCGCACTACTTTCACGCCCACACCATAGTTGTCCTCACAGCTTTCCCATTAAAAGCTCTGTTTGAAAGGGCAAACTTTTCTGGGAGAATCTTGAAGTGGGCAGTAGAGTTGGGATAATTCGACATCAAGTTCCAACCCAGAACTGTGATAAAGGCCCAAGCTTTGGCAGACTTTGTCGCAGAATTTACTCCAGGAAGTCATCATATCTGCCCAGTCGACCTGACTGACATAACCGAACTAGGGGTAGAAATTGACGCCAAAATAGCTCAACCCCTGGTACAAGATACTCAGCTAGACCCCATGGCAGACCAGAGTAAAAACAGTAAGGAAGAAGCGAACCAAGCTACACCGAGCCAAGACTTACCAACAAATAAAGACTTGGTACAATCAGATAGCGAAAGGCAGACAGCAAGCATGGACTTTGAAGAAAACACCAGCAACATTCTTGACCCCACGACATCATCTGACCCATCCACTTGCTGGAAGTTATTCGTTGGTGAGATGTGGAAGCTCTTTGTGGATGGAACATCCAACCGACATGGTGCAGGACTTGGCATAGTCCTCATCTCACCAGACAGCCTGGTTGTGGAGCAAGCAATCAACCTTGGCTTCCCAGCATCAAACAACGAAGCGGAGTATGAAGCACTTCTTGCAGGACTCAAATCATCATTCTACATGAAGGCCACCAAACTAATGGTCTACAGCGACTCACAGCTGGTGGTAAACCAAATTTCTGGCAACTATGAAGCAAAGGATGACAGGATGCCAAGTACCAAGAATTGGTCACAACAGAGATCAAGAAATTTGAAGTAGTAAGGATAGAATAAATTGGCAGGGAGGAAAACAGCAGAGCAGACGAACTAGTAGGTTTTGCGTCAATGGCAGATACATCCATCCCTCACCCACTACTAATTGATTACCTACCAAGACCAAGCATTGAGGACCCCGAAGTAGAAGAGGTATGTTGCGCCGAATTACGCCCCTCGTGGATGGATCCCATCATACTATTCTTAAAAGACGGCGTCTTACCGGAGGACAAAAAAGAAGCTAACAAAATTAGAGCAAAGTCACAACGATTTTGGCTCTCCCCATCTATGGCATTGTACAAAAAGTCATTCTCAGGACCTTATCTAAAGTGTGTCCACCCTAGTAAAGTAGAAGCATTCTTGTTCGAAATACATGAAGGGGTGTGCGGAAGCCACCAAGGAGGAAGATCGTTAGCCTACAGAGCCATTTCACAAGGATATTGGTGGCCATACATGCAGGCAGACTCAGAAAAATATGTGAAGAAGTGCGAGAAATGTCAGAAGTTCACACATCAAATACATCAGCCGGCCAGAGAACTCCTACCATTGACTAGCCCATGGCCCTTTGCAATGTGGGGCTTGGACATAGTAGGACCACTTCCAACAACGCCCGGAAACATGAAGTTCTTTCTCGCAGCAATAGACTACTTCACAAAGTGGGTGGAAGCAGAAGCATTGGCATTAATCAAGGAAAAAGATGTAAAAAAGTTCGTCTGGCAGAATATCATTACTCGATTCGGCATACCTAAAGCCCTAATATCAGACAACGGTGCCCAGTTTGATGGCAGAATCTTTAGAGGCTTTTGTGAAGAATACAAAATAGAGTTCTACAATTCTACACCAGCATATCCCCAAGCCAACGGCTAGGCAGAAGCATTAAACAAGGTCATCTTGGATGGACTAAAGAAAAGGTTAGAGAAGGCAAAAGGCAAATGGGCAAAGGAACTTCCTCATGTTTTATGGCCTTACGGCACCACACCTTGACGATCAACAGGAGAAACACCATTCTCCTTAGCCTACGGCATGGAAGCAGTAATACCACTGGAAGTTGGCCTCCCCACAATTAGAAGCGAAAGTTTTGATCCAGACTTAAATGGAGAGGCCATAGCATTAGAACTCGACCTCGCCGAAGAAAGAAGAGAAAAAGCACCAGTTCACATTGCCTCATACCAACAAGAGTTATCCAGGAAATATAACAAAACAATACATCCAAGGCAATTCAAGATCGGAGATTGGGTGCTGCGCAAAGTGATGGGAAACACCTTAGTACCAGGAGATGGCAAGTTAGGGCCTAATTGGGAAGGACCTTACAAAGTGGTCGGCTTAGCTGGTAAAGGGGCATACCACCTGGAAGACGAGGACGACAAAGCCATTCCTAGGCCATGGAACACTGCCAATCTCAAACTATTCTATTTTTAGCTTTTCTTCAAAATGCTTGTAATTTTCTTTTTTCCCCAATAAAACAAGTAGTTTTCTTTTCAACATAAGAAGTTTTATTCTGTAAAAATTGTTTTAGTGAGTTAGGGGTATTGAAAACATGGTTGGTTAGAAAAGCCAACACTTTTCCTAAGCCTAGGATAAGGATCCAGGTTGCAGGACGTTTGGTCGGAACAACCAAACACTTTACTTTAGGTTGGCCGGAAAAACCAATCTAAAGGTTAGCTGGAAAAACCAACACCCCTCCTAAGCCTAGGATAAGGATCCAGGTTGCAGGACGTTTGGTTGGAATAACCAAACATTTTATTCTAAATTGGCAAAATAACCAATTTAGAGGTTGGCTGGACTAAACCAACTCCTAGTACTCTTTGGCCGAAGTAAGGACATCGGCTAAAGAGTGGTTGGCTGGATTAAACCAACTCTTGTACTCTTTAGCCGAAGAAAAGGACATCGGCTAAAGTGGTTGGCTGGATTAAACCAACTCTTGTACTCTTTAGTCGAAGAAAAGGACATCGGCTAAAGAGTGGTTAGTTGGATTAAACCAACTCTTGTACTCTTTAGCCAAAGAACATGACATCGGCTAAAGAGTGGTTGGCTAGATTAAACCAACCATTGTACTCTTTAGTCGAAGAAAAGGACATCGGCTAAAGAGTGGTTGGCTGGATTAAACCAACTCTTGTACTCTTTAGCCGAAGAAAAGGACATCGGCTAAAGAGTGGTTGGCTGGATTAAACCAACTCTTGTACTCTTTAGCCGAAGAAGAGGACATCGGCTAAAGAGTAGTTGGCTGGACTAAACCAACTCCTAGTACTCCTTAGCCGAAGTAAGGACATCGGCTAAAGAGTGGTTGGCTAGAAAAAACCAACTTAGAGGTTGGTTGAATTAAACTCTTATTACTCTTCAGCCGAAGTAAGGGTATAGGCTGAAGAGTGGTTGACTGGATTAAACCACTCTTGGTACTCTTCAGCCGAAGTGAGTATATCGGCAAAAGAGTGGTTGGCTAATAAGCTCAGTCAGAATGCTCAGTTAAAGACCGGAATAAAATATCTTGGCCGAAAAATATTATGTTTCGTTCAATTTGCAGTTAGAAAGCAAGCATAAACAGGAAAGTAAACCGAGATAACAATTGGAGCAAAAGAATTCATTGAAAAACACATTACAAGTGCAAGCATACAGATCAAACCGGAATAAGTGTTGAAAACAAAAGATGATTTTCATTGATCAAATTCAAAGCAAAATACAAAGGAGGGGCCTCAGCCCGGTTACAAGACCAAAAGGAAAGAAGAAAATACTGAAAACTAGCAACAAGAAAAGAAAGTACAGAATCAGTTGAACCGATCATCAAGATCAGCATCAATGTCAACACGAAGACCGGTTTCAGAGGGTAGATCAGTCGCGGTTGGGAGCTCGGTGTCTATTGGAAGCACGGTTTCAGCCGTCAGGTCTTCAACCGTTGGCTCCAACCGAACTGATTGATCGTTGGCCTGATTATTGATGACTGGGGTATCATTGGGCTCGGTTTCTTCATCGTCGTCTGAACCCTGAAGAAACTGTTGCTGAACTGATGCAGCGTACTCCGATAGTGAGCTCGGTATGAAGTACTGAGGAGGATTGTAGACCTCGGTCTCGGGCCCACAACCGAGCTGCACCACAGCTGTCCTCCAACCACATTTGAAGAACAAATCTTTGGCTGCCTCATACTGCTGCATAGAGAGGGCCTCCCCCTCCTTGAAACCTTCAGCATTCGCATCAGCCGCCTTTTTCTTTAGCTCGGTGATCTCTGCGTTTTTCTTACCTTCGAGCTTGGCTAGCTCACGCAGGTATTTGTCTTTGATCAAGGCTGCAGCTTTTTGTTTTTCTACTTCAGCCACGCTAACGAGACCGGCCAGACGTCCGTTCTCGGATTTTAGCTCGGCTAGCTGCTTCCTAGCCTCTTCTAGCTCTACAGTTTTTTCTATCACTTCGGCCAACGCTTGCCTTGTAGTCTTGCGAAGTTCAAGCACTCGCTTGTGAGCGATATGGCTCTTCTACATAGCCTACAAAAAGAGGGGGAGATTTGTAATCAAACCGAGATAAAAGTCGTGCAAATTAGAAAGATCAACAGAAGAAGCTACTTACAAGCACCATGGACTTCGTGGCCGAACGAATGGCCCTTAGTTCGGTCAGGTGCTGGTGGTGCTCCATGTCTGCTGGAAGGCAGACACTCTTGGCAAGGTTAAATGCCATTAAGTGATCTTTTTCAGTGACCACTGAGTCTGTGTCCTGAATATCACGATTTTGAAAAGTAAGTTTGGGTGCCCACTTGGAGGAGCTAGCTCGGTCGGAGTGCTCCGGCTGAGGGCTAGGTGGAGGGCTCGGTGGAAGAGTGGTTTCATCTTCATCAACAAGGCGCTGCTCGGTTTGGGTAGTCCGGGCACGCTTGCTGGGGCGAGATAAGGAAGGTTGTTGAGATGGAAGGGCCACCACTGTTTCCTGAGTCTGGTTGGATGGTGGTACTTCGGCTCAGTTGGTTTCGGTTAAGAGGGCCTTCACTTTATTCCGCTTTGCCATTTCTTCTTCTTCGGTAGTGCGAACCAGGTTAATTTGTGGCAAGTTGGGGTCCGGTTCGGGAGAGGCTTCCAGTAAGAAGTCTGTTACTCTGGCTTTACGTCGGCCGCTGTATCTGTACGTCGGCTCAAAATTCAGTAGCTTGGCCCAACTTCTTTCGGAATAACGAAGTGCGGCGCGAAGTGTGTTTAGGTTGGGGTAACTGTACAGTGACTTGAGGTGGGCTGAATCTGCATAAAAAAGACAACTGTCAGTTCGGTTAAGGAATAGAATACCAAAACAAAACAGAAGCATGCAAAGAAACCGAGGTGATTATACCGGGAGTCCCTTTATTCCAGTTTATTCGGTCACCAGGAATCTGGGCTTCTTGGTCTTCGAAGTTCCCAGAAACACAGAAGAAATCATCGTCGTTCAAGTCTTTATCCGGTGTGTCCGTTTTTATTTTCTCTCGACGACGGCGTATTCTTAAATAATACACCCACCCGTCTTCTTTTGAGCCTATAGAATATTGGTGAAAGAGTTCGGCTAATCCGAGGTTAATACCAGCACGGCGGTTTAGCTCGGCTATACCATTTATTATGCGGTATGAGTTTGTGGAAAGCTGAGTTGGGCATATCCTGGTTTGCCTAAGGAATTCACAGATTAAAGGCTGTACAGGGAATCTTAGGCCGGTTTCTACAATGGAAAGGAGGGTGAAGGGAACAAAACCAGGGTTTCCCCACGGTATGATATCTTGTTCGGCTAAGGTAAGGCGGACGTCGTCAGAAATGTTGTACTCCCTTCGGAATTCGACCATGCCGCCAGGTGTTTCTACCAAAAACCTATATTTACCCATTTACTCTTAAGTTATGTATAATTTATCTGTGTTAGCCTGGTTAAAAAATGACGTTGAGTGGCTCGGTTGAGCGTGCGAATGAGTGCCTGGCAGCCTAAGTCTGCAAAGTGAAAAAAGAAAGGGGTTATGCACAGATCGATGGACCGTGCTGCCAAGAAATCAAGGTAAAATAAATGGAGTCCTATCTCGGTTAAGTAAAGAACTACGGGTGTTAGCTCGGTTTCAGCAAGGGGTCTGTTAGCTCGGTTTAAGCAAGGCATTTGATAGCCCGGTTGAGCCTCAAGGGGTAGCTTTTTTAGTTCGGTCTGAACTTGGAAGGCTGGTCTAGCCCCTAGACTCAGCTCGGGCATAGTTAAGGTTTTCAAGGCTTGACTTGTTAAGACCACAAATATAGCAATAAAGAGTTAGCTCGGTTGGTTGGTCCGGCTAGACCGACATCCACTACAAACAACTTCCTAGTTCGGTTATATTGTGATTTTGGATCAAAACTAGTGTTTTTTTTATTTTTTCTTGAATCAGAGGGGCTCTACTACTGAGTTTTTGTAGAAGATGCAAAGACAAGACAGAAAATGGAAGTAAAAAATGCTTTGCAAAAACACATAAAACAAATGTCATGGGCTAAAAAAGTACGAAAGCCAGAAAAATAGAACAGATTTGTGTTACTCACCAAAGTAAGAGGAAGGAAAGGGAAGTAGAAAACAGCCACAAACGCGAGCTTCACAGATGCAAAACAGTAGAGATGCAAGCAAGAGAGAGAGAACGAGAGGAGAGAAGATGAATAGTGTGGTGAGATTCAAAATAAAAAGTTTTGTTTTGATGAAAAGACCAAAGGCGGGAACTGTTCAAAATTCACGGAGTACGAAGACAGCGTGACAGCTGCATTGGGCCAACCGGAGGGGGCCACGTGTCATAGGAATGAGAAGCGATTCAGTTGTTGTGATTGAAGAGACGTTTTGACCGGACAGGTACAGGCCGGTGTGAATTTAGCTCAGCTGATAAGGCAAAAATGGTTTTTTAGCCCGGCTGGAAAGGCTAAAAGGGTTTTTACCCAGCTGGAAAGGCTAAATGGTTTTAGCTCGGCTGGTAACAGATAATCCCCATCACGCTACGCAGATGGAATTAAGAGGCAATTGAGAGGGTGATTTATACTTATAAATTGGGCCGAGCTGGGTAATAGGCCGTTATGGGCCACATTGCAAAGGGCTGAGTAAAATGACCATGAAGTCACTCCGGCTCAAGAAAGGTGTAAAAGTTACTCCGGCTCAAAAGAAGTGTAAAGTTACTCCGGTCCGCGAGAGACCTGAAGTTACTCCGGTCCCAAAGAACTTATGGTAAGTTTGGTCGTCACTCACAAAGTTATCCCGGTTTGTGCCGGAGTATTGTTTATTCCGGTCTAAACATACCGTGGTTAGTATTAAGAAGAGCCGAGGTAAGAGCAATCAATGGAAGAGCCGAGCTAATGTTATCTCGGTCCAGTCAGCAGCTTAGCATAACCATGCTTACCTCGGTCATGTTAAAGTTTGACCGTGGTAGATCCATCTCACTTGGTTTGTGCAGTGAGGGGGGTGTTGAAGGATAGGCATTATCTTTCGGGAGTATGAATCCTAGGAGGACTCTACATGGAGTAGTAAAAGTCCTACTAGGATTGTGCCATGCGGAACCTATAAAAGCTTACAACATCACCTATGGAGAGGTAACACAACTTTGATTCCTGAATACACAGAGTTTTTGTCTACTCGTCTATTTTGCTGACTTAGGCATCGGAGGGGTTTCCGGCACACACCCGCCGGTTAGCTCACGTTTGTGTTTTCAGGGAGTAAAACAACAACGTTTGGAGGAACGCGGACTTGATCAATAGGATTATACGAGAAGGTTTCCTGTACAAGTGTTATGTGAAGTAAAATCTTAAAAGAACCCAATGTAATTGTATTAAACTTGTAAGGTTTATTGTATTTTTTTCAAAGTTGGATAGAGACAAGTAGAATTTACCATAATAATAATGATAAGCTTATGAATTCAAACAACCTGTTACAAAAATGAAGAAAATGTAAAGCAGATAATGTAATAATTTGAACACAAGATAGAGAGATAATTAAGTTCTTCAGGAACTTACATATGGTTCTTCCAGAACCTTTAAATATAGATCTTCAGGATATATTTATGTATTTTATTCAATAATTTAACTATACATTTCAGTATAGTCCTCACCCTTTCTCGTTTTCTCTTTTTGAACTTTTATTTTCCTTTCGGCTTTCTTTCTCTCTCCTGCTTCACGCTTCTCTTCTTTACAAATTTCGATGGGAATATGGTTAAAAGTCAAATTTTTAGCTTTTTAACTTTTTTTAGTCATATTATTTCTCTATTTTTTCACATTTTTTTTTAAAAAAAATCAAACAGCCAAACTTTAACCTACTTTTCAAAATAGGCCGTAATAAAACATGAATAGTGATACTATTCATACTTCTATTTCATCTATCATATTAATGGTTAAGACTATTTTATCACACTATTCCATCTACAATATTTATTGTGGTTATCCACATATTTTACAACACAAACAATTATTCTCATGAAACAAAGCTGCTCAATTTTATTTTTTTTTTGGCAAATAAGAGGAGTTGTTGAAAAGGGTAATGTTCCGGTACACAAAATTATATAAGTTTTCACAAGTGATAACACAAAAATGTATAAATTCAATACAAATTTGTGTATTACTTGAAATTGTGTTGAGCGTATACACTTTTATGAGACCACTTATATAAATTCGTGAAAATTTATATAATTTTATATAGAATTGCATATGATGTGCAAACTCCCTAAGAGTTTTATCCTTATCTTGGCTAAGTCTTCTCTTTACTCTAGGACTCTTGTCCCTTATCCGCTTATCTCGGATTCCGATATGTTCGAAGATCACCTCGGCCTAGCCAAAGATAACCTCGACATAACTACCACGACACGTCGCACCTCGGCTGACACGTCGGCGTTACCATGCCACGTGTTGGTACTCAGAAAATATATCCCACAATTACATTACATTATGGATAAGTTATACTGACCTCTTCTAAGGTTTGAAACAAATACAATATTTTGCAATTTTGACATAATTATGCTAAGGTCCCTTAAAGTTTTAATTTACATGGTACTTAACTCATTTTTTTTTATCAATAATTCGTTAAAATAATGATAATATCATATTTTTTACACTTAAATATATATTTTTCTTTGTTTACCTTGTGATTATTTACTAGTTATATTAGTTTCGATCACTTTAACCTTGCTAGAAAGGAAGTCAATGAAATTATACCAAAACTATGAAACTATTTATATTTTTAATATTCCTCTGGGGGGTTAGTGTAATTTACCCTTATATAATAAATATTATTGTCTTTCATTACTTACTCTGTGAGATGTATAACACATGCTTAACTTCTAAATGTATACTTATGCTATATTTGGAATTTGAATTGACATTGTTAAAAAATAAAAAATTAAAGAAAAAAAATTACGTACACATATTTATTTTTAAAAGTTAAGCAAACAAAATAATATTTTTTTGACAAATACCTAATCATTTTATGTCCCCCATTTTTCTAACCCAACCAAAAAATACCTTATTTGCAATAGGGCCAAAAGCAATTTGGTTAT